TGATCAGTGTTGTCCTCCCCACGGTGTGGTCATGATCAGTGTTGTCTCCCACGGTTGTCGTGATCAGTGTTGTCTCCCACGGTGTGGTCATGATCAGTGTTGTCTCCCACGGTGTGGTCATGATCAGTGTTGTCTCCCACGGTGTGGTCATGATCAGTGTTGTCTCCCACGGTGTGGTCATGATCAGTGTTGTCTCCCACGGTGTTGTCGTGATCAGTGTTGTCTCCCACGGTGTGGTCATGATCATTGTTGTCTCCCACGGTGTGGTCATGATCATTGTTGTCTCCCACGGTGTGGTCATGATCATTGTTGTCTCCCACGGTGTGGTCATGATCAGTGTTGTCTCCCACGGTGTTGTCGTGATCAGTGTTGTCTCCCACGGTGTGGTCATGATCAGTGTTGTCTCCCACGGTGTGGTCATGATCAGTGTTGTCTCCCACGGTGTGGTCATGATCAGTGTTGTCTCCCACGGTGTGGTCATGATCAGTGTTGTCTCCCACGGTGTTGTCGTGATCAGTGTTGTCTCCCACGGTGTGGTCATGATCAGTGTTGTCTCCACGGTGTGGTATGATCAGTGTTGTCTCCCACGGTGTGGTCATGATCAGTGTTGTCTCCCACGGTGTGGTCATGATCAGTGTTGTCTCCCACGGTGTGGTCATGATCAGTGTTGTCTCCCACGGTGGTGGTTATGCTCTGGTATAATATCGCATCATAAGGTTCAACTCTCCCATGTACCTGGTATTCATGTTCCCTCGCCTCACTGTGTAAGTGTTATGAGGCGAGTAACGCTACATTTACTGCACCAGTTCTGTGGGAACACAGTTCCTCTCCCCCACCCCAGCCTCTCCATCCATTCCCTTCACCTCTGCTTCTCTTCACCTTTGCACGTAAGGTCACTGCCCTGCCCACCCAGGGTAAAAAAAAAAAAATGACCCGAATTAAGATAGAAATCTGTTTTTCTCTCCGTCAAATTACATTTGTTAGCGAGGAAAACCTTCGTTGGTTTTGTCTTCAAATTCGTGTTAAAACCCTAATTTTTTTTTTTTACATTGTGCTAGTCAGATTTTTTTTTTCTTTTTAAATTCTTTAATAATCCGTATATTTTTTTTTTTTAGATTCCAGGAAGAAATCCAAATATTCTTCCTTGAAGCCTTTGTATTCCACTTTTTCGAGGCTGTGGGTCCCACAATGTAACCAGAGATTTTTTTTTTTTTAGCCTCGTAAAGCAGTGCGAGTCATTATTTATATTGAAGTCAATTTTCAAGTGTGTTAGTGAGTGTGTCTGCGAGGATAACGCGGGTTGCCTGCAAACATTGGTCACATTACTTGATATTTCTTTGAATAATATTTAAAAATTGAAATGAATGTGTTGCGTGTTGTTACGAGTTCTCAAATGTGTGTGTTTGTGTGTGTAGTTACTTTCTTGTGGTTGCAGGGGTCTGTTCACAGCTCCTGGGCCCGCCTCTTCGCTGGTCGCTACTAGGTCCACTCTGCCCATGCTCCATGAGTGTTTTTGTGTGTTTGGTACTCACCTAATTGTGGTTGCAGGGGTCGACTCAGCTCCTGGCCCCGCCTCTTCACTGAGTGCTACTAGGTTCTCTCTCTCTCTCTTCTCTCTCTCTCTCTCTCTCTCTGCTCCATGAGCTTTATCATACCTCATCTTAAAGCTATGTATGGTTCCTGCCTCCACTACCTCACTTGCTAGGCTATTCCACTTCCTGACTACTCGGTGACTGAAGAAATACTTCCTAACATCCCTTTGACTCGTCTGGATCTTCAACTTCCAATTGTGATCCCTTGTTTCTGTGTCCCATCTCTGGAACATCCTGTCTTTGTCCACCTTGTCTATTCCACGCAGTATTTTGTATGACGTTATCATGCCTCCCCTAACCCTCCTGTCCTCCAGTGTCGTCAGGCCGATTTCCCTCAACCTTTCTTCATAGGACATTCCCCTTAGCTCTGGAACTAACCTTTGCACTTTCTCTAATTTCTTGACGTGCTTGATCAAATCTGGGTTCCAAACTGGTGCTGCATATTCCAGTATGGGCCTGACGTACACGGTGTACAGTGTCTTGAACGATTCCTTACTAAGGTATTGGAACGCTGTTCTCAGGTTTGCCAGGCGCCCATATGCTGCAGCAGTTATCTGGTTGATGTGTGCTTCCGGAGACATGCTCGGTGTGTGTGTGTATCTGTGCGTGTCTTTACTATCATTTCAACAGTCATTGCTAAAAAATGCCTATTGAAGTATCTGTAATACACAACATAAGATCATCAGGAGATATGTTAACATCCGTCTGATGCGAGGAACACGCACTATCATAATCATCTTTGTGTGTGTTCCTCGTCTTGATCACACCAACTGTTGCTGTCGAATTTTGCAGTATGTGTACTGTGCAACATGTGTTGACAATGATATAAAATATCGACAAGTTGATTAAGATGCATGTACAATAGTTGTTATTATTATTATTATTATTATTATTATTATTATTATTATAATTATTATAATGGGGAAGCACTAAACCCGTAGGATTATACAGCGCGTGGGAGGGGGGGGGATGGAAGGTATTCAGGTTTAATTGAGGGAACTGGAGCACAGATCCAGTTCCCTAGATCAAGAGCCCCTCACCATCATCAAGGAACCTCCCTTGAGGGGACAATAGTTGTTGAAACGTTTGACCTACACAGTAGGCTTCTTCAGTCAGATATAAAGGCAACAGGTGTAGTAGTGAAATGAAGATGATGTAATCAGTCAATCAACCTTGGAGAAATAGTATTTGAGGTGGTCAGTCCCTCAGCCTGGAGAGGAGTTCACCTTCATGGAGCTGAACTCTTCTCCAGGCTGAGGGACTGACCCCCTCATATCTCCAAGGACTGATTACATCTTAATTTCTCTACTACACCTGCTGCCTCTGTGACTGAAGAAGCCTACTGTGCAGGCGAAACGTTTCAACAAAAAATATACCCAACTGTTGCATATGTGTTAATCATTTGCAATATGTGTTGACAACGAAGCAAGTGTGTCACCATTCAAGAATTAACCAGAGGAAGTGTAATGACACCCAGGGTGTATAATTATCACCTGACCTTTTAAATAACTCGGGTGTCATTAGGCAGAGGGACGTCAGTGATACCTAGACTGTATAATTATCAGCTGACCTTTTTAATAATCCAGAGGTTGTCATTATCGGTTCTCTACTTGGCCTTTCATCATATGCCACACCTGGTACTGAAGTGTTAATGATGGTGCATGGGAGTACATGGGAGAGAGAGAGAAGACGACTTTACTGTGCATGGGAAAGGTAGATAAGAGGAAACCTTACGGTGCATATTGATGTTACCGCCTGAAATTAGGAAAACAAAAAAAAAGGGCACAATACCGTGACTGGAACAATACACAGATACCCCTCTCCTCTCTGTGCGGGTTATTTGTGACATTGGGATAGTATAGCAGAAGGCTCTCCCCCCACCCTTCACTCCTTAATGCATTCGGCTCGATCTTTGTTACAGATTTTAACAGTTTGATGACACCTTACATTTATTCTCATAAATTCTAAACCTGTTAGAGTTTTCTGAAGCTGTTTTTAAAGATTTCAATTATTATTATAATCAAAAAGAAGCGCTAAACCACAAGGGCTATACAACGCTGCATAAAGATTTCAAGAATACAAAAGCAGTATAGGATATCAAATATTTAGTTATATGAAATTAATTTTATACATAATTTTTATTTCATGGAGACTACAACGAAAATATTTGACTTCCTGTGTTAACCTACGTCAATCTTAATACTTACCTGGAGTTTACCTGGAGAGGATTTCGGGGGTCAACGCCCCCGCGGCCCGGTCTGAGACCAGGTCTCGTGGTGGATCAGGGTCTGATCAGCCAGGCTGTTACTGGTGGCTGCACGCAAACTGACGTACGAACCACAGCCCGGTTGGTCTGGTACTGACTTTAGGTGCCTGCCTAGTGCCTTCTTGAAGACAGTCAGGGGTCTATTGGTAATCCCCCTTATGTATGCTGAGAGGTAGTTTATCTGGAGTTTATCTGGAGAGAGTTCCGGGGGTCAACGCCCCCGCGGCCCGGTCTGTGACCAGGCCTCCTTAGGTCAGTGTCCCAGGATGCGACCCACACCAGTCGACTTACACCCAGGTACCCATTTTACTGATGGGGAACATAGACAACAGGTGGAAAGAAACACGTCCAATGTTTCTACTCTGGCTGGGAATCGAACCCAGGCCCTCGCCGTGTGAAGCGAGAGCGTTAACCACCAGGCCACCAGAGCAGTCTTGGGCCCCTGACACTTACTGTGTTGTCTCAGTGTACTCGTGGCGCCCCTGCTTTTCAATGGGGGAATGTTGCATCTCCTGCCGAGTCTTTCGCTTTTATAGGGAGTGATTTTCGTGTACAAGTTTGGTACTAATCCCTCTAGGATTTTCCATGTGTATATTATATATCTCGCCTGCGCTCCAGGGAATACAGATAAAGGGCCTTCAACCGTTCCCAGTAATTTAGGTGCCTTATCGTACTTGTGTGTCGTGAAAGTTCTTTGTACACTTTCCAGGTCAATAATTTAGAAATATATACCTGTAATGATGTGTTAAATATAACCATTGTAGAAATCTAAAACAGCTGACTTGTGTATAACCTCAGTAAAACTTGATAAATTACATGTTTCTCCATACAGTGGCTTCATCAGTCCCTCAGCCAGGCTGAGGGACTGATTACCTCAAACCCCTTCTGATCTTCTCTCTTCTTTGTATTGGACTGATGAAGCAACAATAAAGATGCCTAAGTGTTGCACATGTGCGTAATTTATCAACTTGGTTCTCTGAACCATTTATCTACACTCGATAAAACTTAGGAAAGTGGATAAGACTAGCAGTCTTACTGAAACATTTATTGCAACGCATATTTATCAATATTTATTAGAAAACGGAGTGTGGGGAGTACTAAACCCAACAGCTGATCTCCTTTGATGCTTCTCTCCCTGACAGGTCACCCTGATGGTCACCTCGGCAGAAAACGGGAATATCCCACAGGGAGACACTGTGGTAGATGGCTGGCCCTCGTGGTACACGTCGCAGGAGCTAGCGTGGGAGAACCCTGGGGCTGGTAGAGGAAAGCAGCAGCAGAAACAGGTCCCTGGCTTGCTCTTCAGTCACGAGGACCCTGATTCGTTACTCCATGTAGACGACGGCCTTGATTTGTCACTCCCTGTTGATGAGGGTCCCGATTTGTACGCAGCCGATGAGGCCCCTGGCCTGTACACTGCTGAAGGGGGCCCTGAACCCGAGGCGGCTGCCATCATCGACAGCAGCTTCTACGACGTAATTAATAGTGAGTATTATCAGAGTCTTTTATACAGCAATTTGTTTTTGATATATTTTTAGATATTAAGAATATGTTGTGTTTACACTTTGATTCAAATCATGCAGACGGACTTGACGGATTTTCAGGCACACATTTACAAAGACACCAGACAGATACTAACAAACCAGACAGACCGACTTTCACAGACCTGACAGAAACACCGTCCTCCTCGCAACTTTCACTAGCTCACACGAGCCTTGGTAACTTACATATGTAAAGAGGATGACCAATGCAAAGCGGTTCGCGCTTGGCTGCCTCGTCAATCTCCCACAACGTTTAAACCTTCAGCAGCACTCGCGAATCATTCCAGAAATGGCAGACACAAGCCGGGCAAGTCAGAGCGATGAAAAGCCCTCACAAAATATCCTTACGACAAACTAACAAGAAAATGTTCATTCATTTGCAACATTAATACGGGATTATGCGTTATTTATATTCAAAACTGCGACTCATATTAGCTTGTAAAATGAAACTCTGTACTAATTACAAAAAAATGTTTGTTATTACAGGTACAAACACGGGTAAAAAAAACATTGTAGCTGTTATTACAGTGGTGCTGACAGGCTGGAGCAGCGCTCATTAATTAACTTCTGCATGTACTTACAAAAACTGATCTTATATGAATATTCCCTTTGAAGGTGTCGATCTGATATTCTGTTAACAATATACTGAATGTCCAGTGTACTGTTGTTAACACAATGTCCAGTGTACTGTTGTTAACACAATGTCCAGTGTACTGTTGTTAACACAATGTCCAGTGTACTGTTGTTAACACAATGTCCAGTGTACTGTTGTTAACACAATGTCCAGTGTACTGTTGTTAGCACAACGTCCAGTGTACTGTTGTTAACACAATGCCCAGTGTACTGTTGTTAACACAATGTCCAGTGTACTGTTGTTAACACTGAATGTTCAGTGTACTGTTGTTAACACTGAATGTTCAGTGTACTGTTGTTAACACAATGTCCAGTGTACTGTTGTTACTAAATACTGCAGAATGTACAGTGTATATTGTTAACGTCGATTTCGGCATATGTTTACATTAGAAGGAAATGTCAATGACGTTGTTAACACGAATTTCAGTGTAACTGGTGTTAACACTGATGTTCATGTGTACATGTTGTTACACTTACTGCGCATATGCTAAACGTCAGTATATTAAATTCATTCGTCTTGTTTTTGTGGCCAAATTTTAAAATTGATTGTAGAGAAACATCGGAGTTTTTGAACAAGACACAAGTTATGCCGGATTGTCATAATTTCGTTTTACACGCTTCTGGATTTCACCTCGGTTGGGGGTAATGCATTTGCTTTCACTCTCCCTTCATCCCTATTCTTCTTTTCGCTAAATATTCAGTACTCGATATCGTCATTTTCGTCTTTGTGTTTGTGTGTGTGTTTTAAACATTGATCTCTGTCTAGACAGTTTAAACATCGGTGTCTTGTGAGCAGCGAAGATCAAGTGTCGTGTAACATTCGGTCATAATTCATTTTTCACGACTTATGGAGTGATTTCATCGACTCCAGGCTGGGGGGGACTGATTACCTCACTCTCCCTCTGATCCCCAATATTCTTCTTTGTGAAATTAAGACACATGTGCAACATCTGGGTATCTTTATTGTAGACGTTTCGCCATCCAGTGGCTTTATCAATACAAATTCTAGGACATAACTTGAAGACAGTAGAACTATGTACAGAAGATGAGGTAATCAGTCCCTCAACCTTGGAGTAGGTGCGAAGAGCACCATAGTCGTGGAGATTCTGAAGGAGAAGAAAGGAGCCTGGCGCTTATATAGTAACATCAGGTGTAGCAGACGAGGGCATAGTCACTGGTAGGCGGGATTCCCCAGTGGAAGTAAGTCCTTCCCAAAGAGATGGGTTAGTTGTAGCAGTGACTATGCCCTCGTCTGCTACACCTGACGTTACTATATAAGCGCCAGGCTCCTTTCTTCTCCTTCAGAATCTCCACGACTATGGTGCTCTTCGCACCTACTCCTAGGTTGAGGGACTGATTACCTCATCTTCTGTACATAGTTCTACTGTCTTCAAGTTATGTCCTAGAATTTGTATTGATAAAGCCACTGGATGGCGAAACGTCTACAATAAAGATACCCAGATGTTGCACATGTGTCTTAATTTCATCTTGTCGGTATTATATACCATTCTTACACATTCTTCTTTGTATTGGACTGGTGAAGCCACTGTGTGACGAAATGTTTCACCACTAAACATATCCAAGTGTTGCACATGTGTCTTAAATTTACCAACCTGTCAGTTCTTTGAACCGTTTGTCAACACGATTCATGACGTAATTCAGAAGGCAGACGTATTTTCCGGTGTTCCTGTGTGCGTCACATAATCTGTTATTGACACGCTCGCTCTTGTTCCTACTTTTATTTTCCTGTGTCAGTTATTTGTTTTGATTATCGCGTTTGACTTTAAGCATATTTATACAGGTTGTTGCGCCGAGTCATCTTTGATTTGTGATATAGAAAATTGGTTTAAATGTATTTTGAATACAGTGTGCTCAATGGCTGGCGCACTCAGCTCACACACTGAGGTCCGTGGTTCGATCCCCGGTACGGGTGGAAACATCAGGACGTGTTTGCATGAGACATCTGCTGTCCATGGTCACCTGGGCGTTTACTCGACTGGTCTGGGTCGTATCCTGGGACAAAATTGACCTAATTTGCCCGAAATGCTGTGCATAATAAGGGACTTTCTATGCAGTAGTATGTCATTGATGTCAGGTAGACCTGTTTACCTTGTACTTCATGTATTTGTAGAAATAAAGATTATTATTAATGTTTATTATGCTTTCGTAGCTTAGAATGCAAGTAGGTTTGTTATGCTCTTCCTTCCGTTAAAAAAAAAATTCTTACAAGGCAAGGAGAATTTAGGCTCTTCGTGAGGAGGTGGCTTGGTGAAGGGCTCGTGATCAGAAGAAGTGGAGCTGCCCCTTTCTTTCCTCGGATCAGACTTAATTTAGCGCTTAATTAGCGGTATATAGGAACCAAAGGGAATATTTTATCATACAAGTATACCTGATATAAAGTGAGAGTTGTCACAGTTGTTCTTTGTTGATGCCGCAGTGTTTTTGCCGCAGTGTTTTTGGAAGATTCCGAAGAGAAGTTGCAAAGGTTGGTGGAGGAATTTGGTGGTGCGTATTAAAAAACAACATAGATATGAGTAAGGTGATGAGAGTAAGAAAAACCCTAAGCAATGAAATATTCGATATATTGAGGGACGTATTGAGGCAGGTAATGTATTTAGGAATTTGTGAGTGTGTACTCGCCTAATTGTACTCGCCTAATTGTACTCACCTAATTGTGGTTGCAGGGGTCGATACTCTGCTCCTGGCCCCGCCTCTTCACTGACCGCTACTGGGTCCTCCCTCTCCCTGCTCCATGAGCTTTATCATACCTCGTCTTAAAACTATGTACTGTTTCTGCCTCCACTACGTCACTTTCTAGGCTATTCCACTTCCTGACAACTCTGACTGAAGAAATACTTCCTAACATCCCTTTGACTCATCTGAGTCTTCAGCTTCCAATTGTGGCCCCTTATTTCTGTGTACCATCTCTGGAATATCCTGTGTACTCGCCTAGTTGTACTCAACTAACTTTGGTTTCAGGGGTCGAGTCATAGCTCCTGACCCCGCCTCTTCACTGGCCACTACTGGGTCACACTCTGAACCATAAGCTTTATTATACCTCTGCGTAAAGTTATGAATGGATCGTGTGTGTGTGTGTGTGTGTGTGTGTGTGTGTGTGTAGATGGGTCTTTGAAAGACAAAATGAAACAGAAAACGGTTCGTGGAGTATTGAGACGTGTGTAGAAAAGAAACATTATCATCAATGAGGTCAATATGTAAATAGTATGTAAAGTAAAAGGACACAGGTGCAACTAATGTGACATTTTATTGTGGCAACGTTTCGCTCTCCAGGAGCTTTATCAAGCCATTACGTAATGGCTTGAACATTACATTCTGCTTCTATCAACTTTTCTGTACTCGACTGAAGAAGCCTACTGTGTAGGCGAAACGTTTCGAAATAAAGATACCTAACTGTTGCATATGTGTCTTACCTAACAACGTAATGGCTTGATAAAGCTCCTGGAGAGCGAAACGTTGCCTCAATAAAATGTCACATTAGTTGCACTTGTGTCCTTTTACTTTACATATTGTCGGTAATTCTACCAACTTTATTACAACCAGTGTAAATAGTAAGTAAAGAATGGACGGAGAAGTTAGAAACCAGTGAAGTGGAATGACAAGTTTAAGTCAGAGATCTGGTGAGAGGTTGAATATAGATCTGGTAATTTGGGAAGACTCGCCCAGATAGTTTGGTTAAAGTTAAAAATCTGGGGTACATGGGAGGGGTAAAAAAAAAGTGTCATTAAGCGGTACAAACTTGAAACTCCCACGTACGTTTGTGAGTTAAGCGGTACAAACTTGAAACTCCCACGTACGTTTGTGAGTTAAGCGGTACAAACTTGAAACTCCCACGTACGTTTGTGAGTTAAGCGGTACAAACTTGAAACTCCCACGTACGTTTGTGAGTTAAGCGGTACAAACTTGAAACTCCCACGTACGTTTGTGAGTTAAGCGGTACAAACTTGAAACTCCCACGTACGTTTGTGAGCGTCTTAGACAGGATTGAGTGGAGACAAGCTACAGTACAGTGCAGTACATTTCAATACAGTACAACGCAATACGTTTCGTTACAGTACAGCGTTGTACATTGCAGAACAGTGCAGTACATTACAGTACACCTTGGGTAGCGTTGAAGATTGGGTTGGTCAGATATTGTTAGTGGGATTGAGTGTGAAGGACCTGCCTAGTATGGGCCAACAGGCCTGCTGCAGTGTTCCTCCTTTCTTATATTATTTCGTTATAGTACAGTGCAGTACACTTTATTACAGTGCCTGTAGTCCGAAGTTGAGCGGGAATGTGTCCCTGTGGAGG